TTATGTGTGAATTTCATTGTATCTTTTTTTATTTTTTTGTTGCACTCACATATTCCTTTGGGTTTCAAAAGCATGTGTGTTTTAAATGAAATTCTTGAATCTAAAAGTTCGGTATGCTTTAAACAAGTTTCCTTTTGAAAAGTGAAATTAGTATGTAAAGGAAGTTACATAATTGATAAAGAAAGATAATAATAAAAATAAAACATTCTCATTTTGCTTGCACGAATAAAAACATATCTTTTCTTGAAATTGTCAGTGTTTCTCAATGATTTAAGTTGGTTATTGTTAACATAGGTTATGAGGCTGCAAATCGCAATGATTCAAATTGGAATATGCGTTGCTCTGTAATTATGAGAGTTAGAACACTACTCATTAGTTCTATTATCTTGATTGTCAAAAGCCCTTTCTTCTACAAAGTAATTTTTTTTCTATTGGTTTAGACTTAAAAAATTGTGTGTTCTTGTGTTTATTTTGGGACTTTTCTCAAATGGAATAAGGGATTTAGAGTGGAGGCATGTCACCCTAAGAATTAATGCTTTTAGTATTAACATTCATAAAAAAACTTTTTATATTATTTGTTTCATCAAATTTGTTCCTTTTAGTTTTTGTTCTAATTATTGCTTTATTAATATTATGTCTACCTTTGCATGTTACAGAGGAATTTGTTTTTATGGAGCTTATGAGTTTTATGTATAGTAATATCTCAAACATTACTTTACCACCTGCTTTATTTGATATGTTGATGGTTGTTGATAAATTTGAAGTTGCTTCCTGTATGAGATACTATAGACAAATTTGAACTTGTTTCTTGATATTTCTTAGTTTACTTAATTGAAGAGGGATTTATGTCTAGTTAATAAATATATATTTCATTATTTTATACAGGAAGGTATTACATTTTTTTCTTGCAAGCATATTTATAAACTTGATACGAAACCTTCTTCAGTTAAGTGATCTAAAAAATGTTAAAGAAGCGATTTCAATTTTGTCAATAATATCTTATATAGGAAATAACTTTAAATTTGTTAGAAGCATTAACACATCCAATAGAGTAGGTGGTGAGATAATGTTCAAGGTATTATTATATATAAAATTCAAAAACTCTATAAAGTCATATTCATTTGTAACATGCAAAGGAATCATGGCATTAGTAAAGCAATAATTAGAGGAGGAATTAAAATGAACAAATTTGATAAAGTAAATAATTTAAAAAGTTTTTTTTATATATTTTAATACTAAAAACAAGGGTGTCATGCCTCTACTATGACCCCCTCACACCATTCGAGAAAAATCACAAAATAAACATAACTAAGCAAACACAATTATACAATTATATAACAAGTCCATAAATAATAAAAAATAAATAATTTTTGTTTGTTCATGGTCGACCATGCCAATTCTAATTATGTTGATTTTTCGGTCAACTATAATTTTCATTACTTATCTCATACTTTTTTTCTTCTCATACATACTTTCAGTGGCGGAACTTGAAAAAATTTTTCAGGGGTGCCAGATTATTTTTAGGGGTGCCAGATTATTTTCATATATATATATAAAATTATAAATTATTTTTTTATTAATTAAAAAAATTAGAATTTCTCTTTTTTAACATAATTTTTTTAGTTTTATTATAATTAATAATATAATAATATATAAATATAATATTAATATATATATATAAAAAAAAAATTAGAAAAGTTTGGGGGAGCCGTGGCTCCCCCCTGTCCCTATGAAGATCCGCCCCTG